TGCCGCGGCGACCGCCCTGGCGGGACCCGATGGCAGCTCTCAGGGCAGCGCGGTAACGGCAGGATCGTCAAAAGTGGGCGAAGGCAACGGAAAGTTGGTGCCCAGGCACATTGGATGCAGCGCCAGATACCTTCAGAAATCTGCCCTTGGTGGCTTGTTTCCTCTTTCTCCTCCAAAATTGCTTTACCTTGAGCTGCAGGTGAATGGGCTGAAGGAGGACGTAGCCACGGCATTGCAGCTAGCGCAGCAGCGATTCAGAACACAATAGCTGCAAAGAAAAACTTTGCTGTAGTTGGCACACTGGTGTCATAGTCCAGTTCAGGCTCTAGCTGCCGTGGCAATTAATGTAATTTAAAAAAGTGTATAGACTTTTTTTAACTTGTGCATTTTGCTGCTGAGACTTTCAAAAGATCTCATGGTTGAATTTGTATGCCCCTGGGACAACAGCTAAGAGAGGATGTTAAAAATAGGTCAGGTCCTGTTTAAGCCCCTGGAATGAGCATAAAGATCTCTGCCTCTGTTATGCTCAGCTAAAAGATGCCTCAATTATAACAGTTGAGTCCAACTATGCTAAATTATGCCTCTTCCCCCCATTTGTACTGTTTGTGTTTATTAGAAAATATGATCCTGCCTTTGGTCTTTTTTCTGGTGGGTTTTGGAAAGGACGGTGAATGCTGTAGTGCTCAGTCCTAATGCGCAGTTTCCGTCCGAGGAGGCAGAGTGGGCTCTGCGCTCTGCTCCTGTGACTGGGAATTTCGCCCCAGGCGTTTCAGCATCCTTCAACATGCAAAACTCCAAGCAGTGCTCGAGTTTTCCCGGGAAACAGAAGAGAGTCAGGACCTGAGACCTTCCCATAAAAAACAGCAGACACCAAAAATCAACGCCAAGGTTTCCGACCACCTAGGAGAAGGCTGTGGTTGGCTGAGTTAGTGACCTGTAGAGCAGAGATGTATTTGTTGTATCCAGCAGAGAGGATGCAAGGCAAGAGGTGGAAGCCACACTTGCATCGTTGGCCCATGACGATCCTGAGCACGGGTAAGGCCTCATCTGGGAAGCTGCACCCAGGCGGGACTCCAGGCTTCAGAGACGTGGCCCAGCCGAAGGTGGTCTGGAGGGAAGCAGGTTTGGAGCTCTGGAAAGCATGACTGAGGCAAAAAGCCTGAGGAGAAGGAGGGGCATGGTTTCTTCTGGAGAAGAGAAGACCGTGGGGAGAAGTGATAGTCTGCAACGACGTGAATGGCTGCCCCAGAGAGGAAACTGCTGAATGATCCTCCAGGTCCATCACAAAAATTAATGGGCCAGAAAAGCAGTGGCAGAGATTCAGGCTAAATTTATTTTCCAAGCAAATGCATGCTGAAGAACAGAAATGCATTTCCTGAAGAGGCTGTGAAGTCTGCACCTTTGGCAATTCAAAAGAGCAGCTCGGACAGATATCAGTATGTGCCTGGGAAGCTGCAGGCAGAAGCAGTGCTGTTTCAGAGCACAGGGCAGGACCGGAGGAGGTGCCTCAGCAGCTCCGGCCTTTGCTGCATCCCTTCCTCACCGCATTCGAGGAGAATTGCCAAGGGTATGCGCCCAACTGCTGGCTTGCAGCTAAGCAACAGCCATCATCTCTGCTGAGATGTTTTGAAGTTGGCTGCGTGCTGGGCAGGAGCTGGGACATACTTCTGCCTCTGCTGGGTGTTGTGCGGGTGGCGAGGGGCAGCCCGTACCTCGCGCCGGCTGCAGGGCTGCACCTCGGTGCGCACGCCGCAGGAGCGGCTCGTACGTGCCTTGGAGATGGCTTTTGGCTGTGCGTGCTGGGTCTGCTCGGCGCTGGCCGCAGTGGTGTGAGGAGGTGGTGGTGGGGTGGCACCGACCCTAACATAGCTCTTGTCCTCTCCCCTGGCCGGTGTGCAGAGAGCGATCCGGGTGCGCAGCCACTCCATGGAGACCATGGTGGGCAGCCAGAGGAGGCACCACGGTGGTGGCATCCCCGGCAGCCTCAGCGGCGGCATCGCCCACAACAGCGCCGAGGTCACCAAGACCACCTTCTCGGTGAGTGCTGCCGAGTGGAGCGGAGCAGGGCACCTGCCAGCCCATGCCCCAGCGCTCCTCCCCTTGCTCCCTTGCTAGGTTAATTCCTGGACGAACTAGATGAGTTTCTTGGGGAGGCTTCAGCCAGTAAAGAAGATGAAAAAAGAAACTCTGGTATTACAATTTTTCTAGATGCTCAGGCTGAGACTTGTAAGCAGCGTAATTCCTAGTGAGATATTTAGTCTCATGAATTTCTAGGAAGGAGCTTTATCTTCTTAAAACTTGGACTGTTCTGTTTCTTCAGCCACCGGTGCCAGTGGCTACAGCCAAGAACCAGTCCCGGAGTCCTATTAAACGACGTTCGGGGCTGTTCCCTCGCCTGCACACGGGGTCTGAAAGCCAGTCGGAGAGCAGGACAAGATGGTAAATTTGACGTTGCTGTAGCTGCAGTTTTCCCATTTTCCTGTGGAAGTGGAAGGCTTTGGGAACGGGTCTGTGCATGCGCGTGCCTTTAGCAACTGTTCGCCGTGGATGCTGGCAGCCAATTCTAAGCAAATTTGGCAGAGGCAAAGGTCTCGTGTTATTAGCTTCCCACACATTTAACAGCGTTAAAAGGCTTGGCAGGAGAGAGACCCTGTAAGACAAGTCCACACAGGAACTCAATCTTATGAGACAAATTGTAGAAAGTTAGTATTCACTGTTTCTACCACTTATAAACCTATTGATTTAATTATGGCTTTACCTGAACCAAGAAGAGCGGAGACTGGTTGCCTGTTACCAAATGTGATTTAGCCCCAGGAAGATCACTTTGTCTCACGCAGCTTGGCCGAGGCTGCCCTCCAAAAGCCGATCGTGTGTTTCGCCAATGCCTAGAGCCACCCGGGCACAGGCAGAGTAAGGTCCGTGGCAGTAGCTGACGCCGCACTGTCCCTTGGCTTGTTTCCTCCTTGAGGTGAATCCTCTTGAGGCCTCTCCCAGCAGCATCCAGGTCCTGCTATTTTTCTGTGTGCATCACAAAGGATGCACTGTCAAAACCTGGCCAACAGCTTGAAGACAAAAATAACCATAACCCTTGACTTGAGGCTGTGCAAGCAGGTGTAGGCTCACCATGGTTTGCCCCCAGCAATGGGAAATAGCTGTGCCCTGTCCGGGGAACACGACTCTTAGGGCAGTGCTGGAGAAGCCCTTGCTTGCGGCTGGAGGCCTCCCATACTAACATCTAGGTTGCAACCGCTCTGTCCTAAATATGCCAGCAACCAGGGTTTCTCTTGCCCTGTTAAAAGCACTGGTATCTTGGGTCCCTTCTCTCTGTTTTAAATATAAGCAGTGGTATCAAAAGAGCATCTGCTGTTCTAATGGTTTAGCACTTGGTGTTTAGGAATGTATTTGACCAAATCTTTCAAGTGTCTTGTATAAGTTATGCAACCTGCCTTTTCTGTGCCCTTAGTGACAGTGTTTCTGGAGCCCAGAAGATGCCAGATATGGGACATTCTTCTCAAGAGATGAAATCTGAAACCTCATCCAACCCCAGCTCCCCCGAAATATGCCCCAACAAAGACAGGTGAGTGGGAATTGCTGGCAGCTCGCTCCAGCTTCTGGCTAGAGCTCAGAGTCCCACAAGTCACTGTGCAGCTTGCAGATCATCAGGGAATTTGTCAAACAAAACCTGTCTTCCAGTTTCACTATAAATAAGTTTGATATTAGGGAGAAAAAAAGATTCTGGTGATTCATGTGCACAGCTCCTTTACTGTCTGAAAATAGCCATCTTTTGAAAAAAAGAACAAAGAACAGTATTTGACTCAAGGCATGGGAGTTTAAAAGGGCTGAAGATCTTGTCCCTTCCTGCCACCGAAGGAGTTAACCTGACCTATTTGTTTCTCTCGGTTACACCTATCGGCCACTTTCTTGCACGCTTTGGAAGCGGTTATTTATAGAGGCGCCCCGCTGCGCTCAGCCCTGCGCAGCCGCTCGGCAGCCGGCAGAGGCGCAGCCGCACGGACGAGCCCCCATTGTGCCAACGTGAAGGACAAAGTTTTCCACGCGCCAGTCACATGCTTTGTATTTTGTTTCATTTTTGCTTTTCTAGGCCATTTA